GGACTCTGTCAGAGCTCACAGAGGAGCACGCGTGAGCTGTACGTGGGACTCTGCACTGCCAGGCACGGGACTCTGTCAGAGCTCACAGAGGAGCACGCGTGAGCTGTACGCGGGACTCTGCACTGCCAGGCACGGGCCTGTCGGAGCTCACAGAGGAGCACGAAATGAGCTGTACATGGGACTCTGCACTGCCAGGCACAGGACTGTTGGAGCTCACAGAGGAGCACGAATGAGCTGTACATTTCACTGCAGGTAAATTTCTACTCAAAGGAAGACTGGAAACAAACACTGAGACCTAGGGAACAATGGCAGTATGGGCTGCAGTGTTCAGGTCAGTGTGTGAGGAAGCATGCTGACTGTAAACACGTCCATTTGAGAGGGACTGGGGGACCGAATGGAGATGGACAGCGGCATGGGGAGAAAAGTGCAACAAAGTACTGCCCGCAGAGCAGGGTGGTGGAACACCCACGTGGGTGGCCATAGCATCTTTCTTTCAATATTTTGAAAGTTTGCAAATTCCCATCATGAAATCTTTGAGGAAAGAGGCAGTAGTTTTCCAGCATTATGGAAAAGTAGTTGATTCAGCCAATTCTGGAAGACAGGGTATGTGTGGAGAAAGGAACAAGAAAGGAAGGAGACCATGTTGGGGGCTTCAAGGAGAAGGGAAGATGTTAGAGTCGGCACAAGGAGCCTGGTGGTGTGCAGGTGGCTAAGAGGGTGGCTGAGGAAGGGGAGAGGAGGTGGAAGCTCATAGCAGGGACGACTGACCTCCATTTCTGATGGCTGTGATCCCTTGGTAGAAGTCTTCAAAGCTGATCACACCGAGTCCACTGGGATCCAGGTACTTAGTTAAGTCCTTCACCTGTAATTGCCAAATGAGATAGGTTATCCTAAGCCTTTACAGCAGGGGTGCCCAACCTCAGACTTCCGACCGGCACAGGTCTGATCTGTGGCCTGCTGGGAACAGAGCAGCACAGCAGGAGAGGGCAAGCATTGCCGCCTGAGCTCCCCTCCAGTCAGATCAGCAGGGGCATTAGATTCTCAGAGGAGCACAAAGCCTACTGCGAGCTGTCCATGGGAGGGGTCCAGGTTGTGCGCTCCTTATGAGAATCTAATGCCTGATGATCTGAGGTGAACAGTTTCATCCCGAAACCATCCCCACCTCCTACCCCCGTCTGTGAGAAAGTATCTTCTAAAAAATCGAACCCTGGTGCCAAGATGGCTGGAGACTGCTTTAGGGAATCAGGATTACGTTGTATCACAAGCTTGGCTTTTTCACCAAATGCAAAAAAGCAGCCAAAGAGCAGTGCGAAGAGGGACAGCCTCTGACTCCTCACATCCAGGAGGCAGCGTGGCCTCCAAAGGCCACTGCGGACGGCCACAGCCACAGGATGGGCAACACCCTGCAAATGAGCTGCCAGCAGCACCTGGGGTAGTGAACCACGGGAGTGTGACCCCGGACATTGAAAGCCAGCAGCCAGGGCCTTACGTGGAGAGATCAGTTCTGAAGTTTTAGATATTGTTCTGGCAAGGATCCAGCATATTAACATAAATACGTTACACAGATAACGTAGATAAGTGCACACCGCCCATTCAGAAAAGCCTTCCTGGGTGTGCAAAGTCCTTGGAAGAGAACAATTGAAGAGACCCCTGATATCAAAAATCATAAATGCTTAGTAGGATAACTCACATATGGATGTTACAGAGAATGAAACTCTTGAGAAAGAATGTAGGTTTATTCTGCCAAGTGTAAATTGGATTCCATAAAAATTTAAAAATTTTCAGGGGAGGAGGGAGAGCATTAGAAAAAATAGCTGGGCTTAATACCTAGGTGATGGGGTGATAGGTGCAGCAGACCACCATGGCACACGTTTGCCTATGTAACAAACCTGTACATCTGGCACATTTACCCCAAAACTTAAAATACTTAAAACTTTTGAGGAGAGAGATCCAAGATGGCTGATCACTAGCAGCTTGGGATTGTAGCTCCCACTGAAAGCGCAGAGAACGAGAGGACGCCACACTTTCAGATCAATTTTTGTTGCTCACGCACCAGGAGATTCCCAGCGGAGGAGCCCCACGTGTCGCCAGCACGACTCTTGAGGCCGGTGAGGCGGTTTTGCCGCTGCCTTGGTGCAGCGGTTCTCCGTGCAGAGTCAGAAAAGCACCATCAATCTTAAAGCCGCTGTTTCGGCCGGCGCAGTGGGTTGCTCAGATTTTAGCACCAGGAATCAACAAGTTGGACATCTATTCAGAAACCCAACTATAAAGACGGTAATTATAAAGACCACAGATGGATAAATTTATAACGAAGGGAAGAAACCAGCCTAAAAAGGCTGAGAATACCCAAAATCAGAAAGCCTCTCCCTCTACAGGGGATTACAGTTCCTCATCAGCAACAGAACAAGGCCTGATGGAGAAAGACTGTGTTCCATTAGCAGAAGCAGGCTTCAAAAAGTGGATGATAAGAAACTTCTGTGAATTAAAACAACTTGTTCTAACCCAATGCAAAGAAACTAAGAACTTTGAAAAAAGGTTTGACGAAATGTTAACAATAACACACAATTTAGAGAGGAATATAAGTGAATTAATGGAGCTGAAAAACACAGCACGAGAATTTCGCGAACTATGCACAAGTTTTAACAGCCGAATTGATCAAGCAGAAGAAAAGATATCAGAGGTCGAAGACCAACTTAATCAAATGAAACAAAAAGACAAGATTAGAGAAAAAAGGATAAAAAAGAACGAGCAAAGTCTCCAGGAAATATGGGACCATATGAAAAGACCTAATCTGCGTTTGATAGGTGTACCTGAATGTGACGAAGAGAATCGATCCAAGCTGGAAAATACGCTTCAGGATATTATTCAGGAAAACTTTCCCAACCTAGCAAGGCAGGACAATATTCAACTCCAGGTAATACAGAGAACACCACAGAGATATTCCTCAAGAAGACCAACCCCAAGGCACATAATCACCAGATTCACCAGGGTTGAAATGAAGGAGAAAATACTGAGGGCAGCCAGAGAGAAAGGTCAGGTTACCCATAAAGGGAAGCCCATCAGACTCACAGCAGATCTCTCAGCAGAAACCCTACAAGCCAGAAGAGAGTGGGGGCCAATATTCAACATCCTTAAAGAAAAAAACTTTCAACCCAGAATTTTACATCCAGCCAAACTAAGCTTCGTAAACGAAGGAAAAATAAAATCTTTTGTGAACAAGCAAGCACTCAGAGATTTCATCACCACCAGGCCTGCTTTTCAAGAGCTTTTGAAAGAACCACTACACATAGAAAGGAACAACCAGTATCAGCCTTTCTAAAAAATACCAAAAAATAAAGAACATCAACATAATTAAGAAATTGCATCAACTAATGGGCAAAACAGCCAGCTAACATTAAATGACAGTATATCAAACTCACATATATTGTTATTAATTCTAAATTTAAATCGACTAAATCCCCCAATCCAAAGACATAGACAGGCAAAAAAAGCCAAGACCCATTGGTATGCTACATCCAGATCCATCTCACATGCAAGGATACACAAAGACTCAAAACAAAGGGATGGAGAAAAATTTACCAACCAAATGGAGCGCAAAAATAAACAAACAGAAAGTAGGAGTTGCAATTTTTGCTGATAAAATAGACTTTAAAGCAACAAAGATCAAAAGAAGCAAAGAAGGATATTACATGATAAAAGGATCAATATAACAAGAAGAGCTAAAGATCCTAGATATATACGCACCCAATACAGGAATATCCAGATATATAAGACTTATCAAGAGACTTGGACTCCCGCACAATAATAGTGGGAGACTTCAACATTAATATTTGACAGATCAATGAGACAGAAAGTTAACATCGATATTCAGGACTTGAACTCAGATCCGGAACAAGTAGACTTAATTAACATTTACAGAACTCTCCACTTTAAATACACAAAATATACACTCTTATCAGTACTACATCACACCTATTTATAGGTTTAAATGAAATATTGGTTGGCTGCTTGTTAATTATTTTCTTTCCTCATTTTTTTTTTAATGTCTCTATTATTAAACACAATTACAGGCATATCCATTTTTAGACTGCATTCTAGCCCGGGCAATAAAGCAGCACCCCTGTTCTCTCTCCCTCTTCCTTCTTTCCTTCATTCTTTTTTTTTCTTTTTCTTTTTTTTTAATTCTTTCTCTCTTTCTTCCTCTAAAAAAAAAAAAAAAAAAAACTTTTATACTCAAAAGACAACATTAATAAAAGCAAAAATGGGCACTGACTGGGAGAAAGTATCTGCAAATCATGTATCTGTTAAACTCCTTGTATGCAGAATACATCAGGAAAACTTACAAGTAAGAAGACAACTCCGAGGCTGGGCATGGTGGCTCACGCCTATAATCCCTGCGCTTTGGAAGGCCGAGGCAGGCAGATCACCTGAGGTCGGGAGTTCAAGACCAGCCTGACCAACATGGGCTGGTCTCTCTTTAGGAGAGACCACCCAGTCTCTATTAAAAATACAAAATTAGCCAGGCGTGGTGGCACATGCCTGTAATCCCAGCTACTCAGGAGGCTGAGGCAGGACAATTGCTTGAACCCGGGAGGTGGAGGCTGCGGTGAGACAAGATTGTGCCATTGCACTCCGGCCTGAGAAACAAGAGCAAAACTCTGTCTCAAAAAAAAAAAAAAAAAAAAAAAAGACAACTCAGGCCAAGAGCAATGGCTCATGCCTGCAATTGCAACACTTTGGGATCTCCCTCAGCCTGAGGTAGACAGCTTGAGACCAGCCTGACCAACATGGAGAAACAACATCTTAACTACAAATACAAAATTAGCCACCAGGTGTGATGGCACATGCCTGCATTTTCAGCTACTCAGGAGGCTGAGAATCGCTGAACTCAGGAGGCAGAAGTTGCAGTTTTCCAAGATCACACGACTGCCTAGGTGACAGAGTGAGGCTCTGTCTCAAAAAAAAAAAAAAGAAGGCTCGGGCCGGGCGCGGTGGCTCACGTCTGTAATCCCAGCACTTTGGGAGGCTGAGGCAGGTGGACCACGAGGTCAAGAGATCGAGACCATCCTGGTCAACATGGTGAAACCCCATCTCTACTAAAAATACAAAAAATCAGCTGGGCATGGTAGCGCGTGCCTGTAATCCAGCTACTTAGGAGGCTGAGGCAGGAGAAATGCCTGAACCCAGGAGGCGGAGGTTGCGGTGAGCCGAGATCGCGCCATTGCACTCCAGC